TCGGTCCAGTAATAAGCGAGATAGCCTCCAGGTGTAGCCCCCCCCCCCCTTAATAATAAGAAAAGAACTGCATGGCGCCCTATAAATATATTACTTTAATGGCCTGGTGGGTGTAGAAGTTCGTCTCAGAACTGGCGTCTTAGTTTCTCCGAGAATTTCCCTGAAGGATAATAGAATATGATTAGCCGTGGGCAAAGGAATACAGTGCCCAAAGGGAGACGTGTTTTGATGGTGCTAAGAGCAGAGCACACAAATATAAAGTATATTTTGTTCCCTCTAGTCTCAGCTAGTGGCCTGGCGATCTGGGAACGTCTTCATGACTTGAACGTTTCAGGGCTCACAAAATCAATTAATAGAGAAGAGCACGTAGCAACCTCATAAAAGGGTAAAAAATAATAGATGGTTTAACGTCACAAAATGTGTTTTATCGTTTATGCCTTCTCTTAAACAATGAAAGTCAATAGTGGTTATGCCATGCCAAGCATACACTTTTAAAAAAGATGAACGAATGTCTTTCCAGTTTGTGTATACGTTTTAATGACGATGGCCACTGTTTCTATTTGAAATGGTATCAACGATGAGATAATTATACAATCCGTTAATCTATAAATCTTCCTCAGGAAGACATCCATGACAGATTTTTGCGTACCAAGTGCGCAAGTAGTTGGGCTGCATTATTTTGAATTAATAAAAGAGTAATTTTCTATTGCCTGTAATCGTAGTATATGTTGATCTCACTCAAAATTCCTCAATTCATGTAGAGTTAGACTTGAAGATTACCATAACTAATATTTAAGAACAAAATTTGACAAATAGTAAAGCTATTTCCCAACGTAGCGCTCATTTGATAATAAAAAATACCTTCCACAAAACTCATGCACCCTTAAAAACCCAGTATGACAGATCTGGCTTTTCTTTGACAACCTGGGCCAGTATGACATACTTGTCATATTGACTTTCTAGGTTCTCTTACATATTAAACTTTTGCTATTTCAATCAAATAACATTACAAACACTTATTTTCACATTTTAAAGAGAAATGATAATTGAAATCACTCATTTGATGGGAATTGCACTTGATGAAGTTATGGTGTATTGCTGAACTGTTCAAATGTCTTTGCACACTTCAATCAGAAAGCTAGATAAGGCACATCCAGTGCAAAATGTTGACTTTAACAAAGCAGAGTTTTAAAAAAAAGTGGAATGATATTAAACACCAAACCAAATTAATCCTTAAAATTTTATTTTTGACTCCCATAGATCAGATCAAAGGTGATAGGACATATATGTAATACTGGGCATTAGAGGTTTATGTGATTTCACTTATCCTAATGTCTGCTTAATTTTGTGAAAATATGGGGTAAACACGTCCAGTAAAAGTTTTCTCTCCAACCCCTTCCTCACGAAAAATAAAACTCAACACTTTCCTTAGAAAGCAGCCCGTGATCACTTTTCAGAACGTACTCGAATACTTCTTAGGAAGCGGGAAATATTAAGGACGGCTCTTGGGTAGTATCAAAGATAGTACATAACAAGATGGGCCACTCAGCCAAAAAAGTGTCCGCCGGAAGTCTGCTCTTTGCTTCAGATGGTGTTGCAGTCTGTTTTGAAGCTCTCTTTCGTTTTTACAGAAGAAGAATAGGAATAGCACCTCTTTGCGTGCGCAGATCGACTGCTGTTCATCAGCAGTTCGGGTTCGTTCAGTGCGGAGTTTTAGGTTTTTAAAAAAATGTTAATGACCTCTCGCCTTTCATTCTAAAGTCAAATTCAACGAAGAAAACAATCACCCTTTCCTCCGGAAGAGGTTTTTTTGTATCAGCGTAACCATTTTAAAAAAAGCGTTTTTCCGAAATGTATTCAAAAACTTGCTAGTTTCACTTTGATGTTTTAAACTCAAGTAGGGTAACTCTGTTCGCAAAGGGTGTGCATTTGCGAAGAGGGCGCCACCTAATTTTGAGGACACTTTTTTAATTGGCTCAAAGAGAGAAGTGGCCCCTCTTGTTATGCAGACTCTTTGGTCGTTTGTCGGGCTAGTGTTGCATTCTCAGAACACATGGCCTTCTTCTGAGCAAGCATTGCTCTGGGGGCTCTCGTGGCCTAGAGGTTAAGGTGTTGGCCTCTCATTTAAAGGTCCGGGATTCGAATCCGGGTAGCGACCGAAAAATTTTCTTCTCTAAATTTGTCTCCTTTCACCTTCTTTCCTGCTCTCTTGCAATGTTCTGTTGTCTGCTTTCATTTTTACTTTCTGCCCTCACCCCCTCTCTTCATTTGCCCCCTCCTCTGGCTCCTGACTCTTTCTGCAGCCTTTCTACTGCTACTCCTTGGCTCCTCCTTACTGCTGTCTTTCTGCCACACCCCTGATCTTCTGGTAGGAAAGATTTACACCTAGCCTTCTCGGACAAGGGCAAAAAATCTCGGAGAGCCCGTGTGCAAGTTGCGCACGTTAAAGATCCCTTGGTGGTCTAAAATTGATAAGAGTAGGCTTCAGCCGCTACCCGGGCAAAATTCAAAATTTCCTACCAACTGAAAATATTAGGTGTATCCCGCGCGCTCATATGACCTTATGCAGTTGCGAGGGGGAAACCCTTTTATTGAACCTCGCCTACTCCTCAGCTCTCTACCTCAAAACTACCCTTGCCAAAAACATGTGCATACATGAAGGATACCAACTATGTAAAATGTATTTATTATAAAAACAAAATCTTTCTTTAAGCTGTAAATCAAACAGAAATGAAGTTCACTTCTCTTCAGCCTATTATGCAGGTCAAACCAGGACCACCACCCTGAGAAAACATTTTTGTATGCACCATTTGGCCAAAATTCCAACAGGCCCGGCCACAATGGGATCTCTGATTGCCAGCTTCAGGATATTGAACAGGGCTAAAGGGAAGCTCAATCAAAGCGATCAATGTGGATCTGGGTCCCATCAGACTTTTCTTAGTTGGGAAGACTTCTTGTCTCCCTCTGTTTAACACCGACAAGCCACATTTCAAAGACCTTAAATGTACTGCTAAAAGTACGAGTCATCCTCTGCACTAAAATGCCCCTACCCCCTTTCCTATTTCACAAAATATTATTGTTTCGCCACTTCCCCCTTGACCTCCACTTTGTTTGTAATCTTATTAATTTAGAACAATGTCCTTATGACAAATAAGTCTATTATGTTTTGTATGTGTATAGAAAAGTTTGCTATATTTTGGGCATGTAGAGTAACTCTACACTTTTGGATGATGATGATGATGATGATGATGATGATGATGATGACGATGATGATGATGATGATGATGATGATGATGACGATGACGATGATGATGATGATGATGATGATGATGATGATGATGATGATGATGATGATGATTACTCAAAGCGCTTAACTCTGGCCTCTATGTTCAACTGAAAACAAACGCAGTGTAAACGTTTATTTTTACCTTACATAATTGCTTACTACACGGGATAAATAAAATTCCTAGAGTCCACTTGGGCCCAACATATCAAAGGAAAACGTAGAATGTTTTTATCCTTATAATCTGTTTCTATAGCATTGATGCTCACGATGTACGTGTACCGAACGAACAACGAATTATTGTTAATATAACACGTTACTGTCAAGATAAAGCATAGCTTTTCCTCCCCTTCCCCCTCCTCCTCCTCCTCCTCATCATCATCATCATTATCATCAACTCTTCTGCTAATATTTCTTAGTGGGACGTCGCATCTGGGATCATCCCATTGTATTTGCTTTGTCATCTGCCTCTCTTTACTGCAGTTTGCTCCGGTCTGCCATTTATGACGTCTGTCCATCTAAATATTTATATTCTTTTCCCTCTTTTTATTCACCGATACTTGCATTATTTTGTCCTCCTGTGCGTATTTTCATTTTATGAATACAAAATTATTGAGCCTCTGTTTCTTAATCAAATTTTCCCCTATAGCGTTCTGTTAAGCCTTTTCATAATCTCATCAACCGTGTCATTGAGATCTACAACTGTCGCAGCTAGTTTTTTTTACTTTCCCGAGGTGGAAAAGAGACTAGCTTACTAGTAAAGTAAAACTAACTATCGACAATCATTATTTCCAAAATATCATTCCACGCCCACGTGCGTCGATGATTAGGCCCTTGGCTGCTGCGCGGAGAACATTTTGAGTTCGATATCCGAGTATTCTGAGTTGATAAGATAATCTTGTTTCTCTTTATGTGCTGGGATGCTGTGGACCACTCAGCTGAGGTTGGCCAACGAAGTTATAGTCGAAAAAATCGCTCTTTTATTTAACTCATTTGTGTCTATATGGACGTGGTACACTTGCAGATGTAATTACAACTACAGCCTACTGTTCTGACATTTTTATTGACTACAGCCCCATGATAATATACATTAGAGTAAAGGTGTATTTTCTCCTGACCCGATAGTTTGACACATAATCCTTGAAAAAGTAATTATACAGTTATACAGGTTAATAGCCTTGTAAGAATAATGCCTTCCGACGGAGAAGTTGACACTGGTTTGAATCTAAACTTATTGTTTATCTAGGCCACTAAGGGTTTATTGGGGGGTAGGGGGGGGGGGGTAATTTATTATATTGTAACTTCTTTCAGATACTAGACTTTATATTTGAAGGTTGTATAAAAGGTCATTACAAAAATTTAGACTTGAAGCACAGTGTGGGGTTTTTTTTCTTCATTTTTACGTTATAATTATACAATATTTGGCCTCTAGCAGCTTCAATAATTAGTACTGTGTTTTGGGGGCGTTCGATCAATACCATGCCTTCGAAATATGCATGGGCTAGTTGTGTAACTCGCTAGAACCGAACCGAAGCCTAACGGGGACAGGCCGGCACCTTCCGAGAGAAGCTCGTCTTGGTGAGTAGTGCAGAGAAGCAGCACACACAGCACGCGCGAGGCGAGCGTGCGGCGATAACGGGGGAAGGGACAGCAAGCGGCAGTCTCGGTCCTCTTGGGGTAGCAGAATCCGCACGCGGACAAGTCACTGGGAGAAATTCTTGTCAGCGCGTACACGCCGTTCACTTCTCACTGTGTTTACTTCATGATCTGAGTACGGTGCCTCGAAGGTGAGTACTTCTCGATAGATTCTGTTTTAAACGTTTTGTTTTATTTATTGCTGTAGATTTGTGGGTGTTGGTTGTTTACAGTGGTAATGCACGTCTTTACACCCTTATGTTTTTCTGGGTTGTGTCTCTGTGCTTGTCTTTAAACGCCATGTTTTGCCTAATCATCATCATCATCATCATCATCATCATCATCATCATCATCATCACCAGTATCATCATCATCCTCATAATCCTTCTTCATCTTCATCATCTACTGCAACAACGGGACCAGCAACAGCAGCAACACCGCCATTTCTACACAACTCTACCACCACGACAGCCACAACCACTACTACAGCCTCATCCACTACCACAACCACCACCATCACGGACAATGAGAATAAAAGCAACGTTTACAACAAAAACTGAAAATAAAAGCAACAACAATGACAACAACGATGACAACCACAATAACAACTACAATAAGAAGGAAAATGACTGGAAAAAGAAGCAACAAACATTGTGCCCAAAACATGAACAAACTAAGATGGCATCATCATCATCATCATCATCATCATCATCATCATCATCATCATCATCATCATCATCATCATCATCATCATCATCATCATCATCACTATCA